GATTGCAGATAGCCACCTCAGAAGGATGGAAGGCTGAGTCAACTTTGAGCCGGTGAGATTTGAACTGCTGAACTGCAGATAGCAGTCAGCTGAAGTGGCCTGCAGTACTGCACTCTAACCACTGCGCCACCTCGGCTCTTTTGTCCTTACTTTGTACATTTGAGTCAACCGATATGAGTATGCACTGTAAACATATTAATATTTAGCACGTGTTTATACTGTTGCTTTTGATATTAGGCCAGCATGAACAACCAGGCAGATAATAAAAGCAATAATGTGAGCAGGTCAAACATACAGCAAAAGTCCACCGGCCCAGAAGAGGAGAAAAAAATGGAGACGGCTACATCAAGATTTGAACGTAGAGAACAGCTCAAAAAATCGAATACCCTCCCTTCGTCCGTCACAGGTATGGTTTACATTTTGGGTCACGAATGTAGCTGCAATTCTATTTCTGAGACAGTTGAGTACGTAAGACCTTGTTAGTTCACCTTGCCTTGTGTGCAGGTAGTCCTCGACTTACGACCACAGCCGAGCCCAAAGCCTATGCTGCTAAGTGAGAAATTTGTTAAATGAGTCTTGTCCCCTATTTTACAACTTTTCTGGCCTCACTTGTTAATTGAATCACCACAGTTGTTAAATTAGCAGCACCGTTGTTAAGTGAATCTGTTTCCCCCCCATCGACTTTGCTTGTCAGAAGGTCGCAAAGGCTGATCACATGACCCCGGGACACTGCAACCGTCGTAAATATGAATCAGTTGAATCAGACCCAATTCTGGTCGTATAACTATTGGCATGCTGTAATGGTCACAAGTGTGAAAAACAGCCACAAGTCACTTTTTTCACCGCCCCATAGATGCTTTCTTTCAAATGGAAATTAGTCTTTCCTGTCTTACTTGAAGACGTTTTGCTCATTCAAGAAGCATCCTCAGTTCTGACTGAATGGTGGAGGATGGAAGGATTTATATTCCTTGCAGTCCTCTGGTTGTTAGCAATCTTCCTGAGAGTTGCTGAGGCCACTTGGAGGTTTGTCTGCAACCTCAGGGTCACCTGAATCCCGTCGTCTGCCATTTCCACCCCTATAAATCCATTCATACTCTCACACCATTCGAAGGATATTCATCCCAAAATGCATAGCTAAATGTCTACGGAAACTCTCAATAATCATTTAGGTCAGATGGAAGCCAGTTCCAAACCCAAACTTGCTTTTCTCAATTTATAACCTTGGGTACAGATGGTTAAGGCGTTAATCGATGATAAGCTACGATAGCAAGCAGTGGAGGTGGTGATATAATAAATAGGTTGTTCCATGAAGCTTATGGAAGAAATCGTCTCCAGATTACTCCGTTTCCTAATTATGGCTTCGTTTATATAGTCCTTAAATGCTGCCATTCAGGCTTAAAAGCTGATTCGTTGATTAAAAAAAAACAAGCAATAGCTTTGGAGGATAAAACCAAGAGGGAATGAACTAATTTTATTTCATGGAAAGGCAGCACACAATAGGGAGGCCTCTGCAAAATTGTATGCACTTCATATAATTTATTGTTGCTTTGCTAGTAACATAACATAAAATAACATTAAATGATGGAGCTAGTTCGCATAAAAGAGCCATAACCATCAGAATAAGTTATTGTGGAGGATATAAATTAAGCACCCTAATCTATTCTTATTCTATAAACGTTCAGGCTGACTTCTCTTTTGAAAGGCAATCTTCCAAATATCAAATTCAAAAATACTTTGGATTGCATCCAGAGAGAGGCAATATTGGAACAATTAAGATCCTCTACATACAACTTAGTATAAACCTAAAATAGCACCATTGATTTCATTTACTTCTCTCCAAATCGGATGAACAGAATACAGGTAGTCCTCAAATTATGGCCACAAGTGAGGCCAACATTCCTGTTGCTAAGTGAGATATTTGTTAAGTGCGTTTTGCGAGATAGTTGTTAAGTGAATCATTGGCGTTATTAAGTTAGTAACATGGTTCTTAAAATGAAGCTGGCCTTCCCCCCATTGACTTTGCTTGTCAAAAGGTCCCAAGAGGCTTCACATGACCCTGGGATACAGCAATCGTCATAAATATGAGTTAGCTGCCAAGAGTCTGAATTTTGATTACGTGACTATAAGGATGCTGTAATGGTTGGTTCAGCCAGTTTGCATCACTTCGGGAGAACCGGTTGTTAACTTGCTGAGCAGTTTGGTGAACTGATCGTTGGAAGAAATCATTAGAGAAGCAGTTGTTAAATTATTTGAATCCCATCACTGCCTAGGAGTATCCATCTCAAACGATCGAAGCCCCAGAGCCCACTGTAACAGCATTCCCAAAAAAGCAATGAGTTGTTAACCTAATTTTGCAAAGCTTCTTCTCCGGTAACACTGTATACAGCAAACTAGGGCATATAAAATTTTTGCCAGACCAATTCTCGAATACAGCTTATCTGTCTGGAATCCACACTGTAAATCGGACATTGACACAATTGAGCGAGTCCAGAGGTATTTCACGAGAAGAGTCCTCCACTTCTCTGCTCACGACAGAATCCCTTTTGCCACCAGACTCGAAGTTTTGGGCTTGGACAATCTGGAACTGCGCCAACTACGGTCCGACCTAAACGTAGTACACAAAATTGTCTGCTACAATGTCCTACCTGTCAATGACTACTTCAGCTTCATCCTCAATAATATACGGGCAAACCATAGATACAAACTCAAGGTAAACCGCTCCAAACTCGATTGCAGAAAATACGACTTCAGCAACGCCTGGAATGCTCTACCTGACTCTGTTGTTACATCCTCAAACCCTCACAGCTTCAACCTTAAACTGTCCACCGTGGACCTCACCCCATTCCTAAGAGGTCCTTAAAGGGGGCGTGCATAAGCGCACCAGCGTGCCTCCCATCCCTGTCCTACTGTCTCCATTTATTTGTCCTCATTTCCTTTGTTCATGTCCATGTTTCTACGTACCTGTTATCTAGTACATGTTCGACAAATTAATCAAATAAATAAGTTTAACCCTTTCCCTTTTCCACGTTCTCTCACAGTGGAGATCACCGATTCCCTTTCGTCGTCGCCTTTGGCTAAAGAAGTCACCAAGAGATTCTCTACACCGGATGCTAACCCCGTCTCCACCGAACCTGCTTGGCTGGCCTTGGCCAAGAGAAAAGCGAAAGCGTGGAGCGACTGTCCTCAGATCATCAAGTAAATAGATCCTAGCTTTTGTGTTTTACTCTGGTTGGAGAGCCATTTCCTTTTTTTTATTCATATTCTCACCTGGCAAATGCTCCCAAACTCATTTACAGGCGAACTCCGACTGATGAGAGACATTGAACTGTGGATCATGAGAGGAATGTTTTCAAGCTAGTATATTTTGAGTTTCAAGGCCACTTTAAGAATCACTGCTTCAGTGTTGTTGAATGTCAGCTTCCCGTAAAACTTATTATTTTTACTTGGACATTTTTACAAATGCCACTCAGGTACAGGAATAAGAAAGATGTGCTTCTGCCATAGTTACGAGATAACTTTGAATAATTTGCCTCGGATCGGGCAAGGACGTCTCCAGAAATAGTGAAATGTAATTTGGGGATAATGAAAGCACCATATTTTGTTTTTATTCTAAAGAGTTTTTCCTGAGGTTTTTTTTAGTTTTGAACATCAGTCACACTTCTGGAATTTATTTAATGATTCACTCATTAACACACTCAAGTTATGTTATATCAAAGATTTCCTTCTTGTATTGCTCTAAATGATTCTCCGAACCATTCACAGCCTGCGTGCAAACTGCATTATTACATCTGCATTTCCCTCATATCCAAAAATATATTCATGCAACAATAATGTTTTTATTTATTTACTTATGTATATATATATACGTATATGTATATATCTCCTCCTCTCTGTAGAAACTCAAGATATCTTGTCTCTCCTCCATTTTATCCTCACCCCCCTGTACAATAAGAACACACTGAATAAGTAACTCAATTGTATTTGGAGAGAACTGTATCATGATTTTCAGTCTTATCATAAAAGGCAGAATAGAATACAGAACAAAACGAAAACATACACCCAGCACTAATAACAAAAGGGGGGGAGAATGGTGTACAAGGAGAAAAAATATAGTTTAAAAAAAGGATTTCCAGTCTTAAATCTATTGTTCATGTCATGCAAGGAATAATGATATACAATATCTTTAAGTGACCGAAAGCAAAATTATCCCCAGATGTACCTACAAGGTGTGGTTAAAAAAAACGTCCAGATGGCACCTACAATTGTCACCCAGAAACAATGGGTGGAGCTTCAGTGACACCATCGTGGCTTTTTCACCATACTATTACTATTATCTAAAGGAGGGTCATCCAACCTCCTTCAGTTGGTTATCTTTTAGATGTGTTGAGTTTCAACATCTGGAGGACAGCAGACAAATTGGGTGGAAAATCTAGCCCCTTTACCCTTCATTCCAGGAGGCCATCATCCTGTTCACCAAGCTTCATTAGCAGTTTCCTCTTCAACATCTGTGCCGTGCTACTGCCTATTACCTTTGCAAACTATGAGCCGAGTGCTTCTGTTAATGACACTCGGTGTAAATGTAGCTATTGTGTTAATACATATTACTTTTTGTCCTGGAATTAGATCTGGTTCAAGATGATGGAATTGGTTTAACGAGGGGAACTGAATTGGGACTGCCAAATTCCAGCCAGCTGGACAGCAAGAAAGATAAAGACGCTTCCTAAATCTTTGCTGTTTTATAGACTTGCAGCTGAGCTACGAAAGTCTTTGATTTGAAAAGCTAATCGTAAGGAAAATGTGACCTCTTTACCCCCTGAGTATTGCTGCCCTTTAAAACTGGTATTCTTAAATTATCAATCAGTTATATTTTCTAGTTAGACATGTAAATATGCAAAAAAAAATAGCGTTGTATTGTACTAAACATCGGGTAAAAAATGTTTGGAACAAAATTTGAATTCAGTATTTCTATTTCTCTTCATTGCAACATCAGTTTGGAATGAAAACACTTTGAAGACAGAGAAGTGCAGCCTACCAAATTACATTCTCATTCGAAAATCCCACCTCAAAACAACAAGAAATACCAACCCACACACTATGCCTCTGGAATCAGGGAAAACATTAATTCAAGGATCAGTGTAAAAATTGCAATTTTGGTCCAAGACAACCAAAACAAAAACAGTTACTGAACAGACATAAAAGCGCAGGAGAAAATGTTTATTGTGTTTATGGAGAAGCATAAAGATGCTGAGTTTGACAGCTGAGTATAACTGTCCTAAAGAAAGTTATTCTTGTAGCCATTGTCACTTGGATCTTTTAAGTGAATTCAGGACTTCTTCAAGACTCATCTTAAATGAGATCAGGAAAGCCTGTTAGTTATACAACTTAACGGATGAAGTTAGGACCTCCTAGTAACTCAGTGTATAGAGCCAAGGTGGGAGTTTGAAGAATGAAAAAATAATGACCTTTTTTGCCATTCACAAAAAATGTGAAGATTTCATCCAGTGTGAGTTAATTCTTATTAACTCTTACAGCAGTTAAACGATCTTCAGGGACATTAAAAAGATGTCATGACTTGGATCTTCAGTTTAAGTTTGAGTTTCCTCTGGACCAGTGTTTCTCAACCTTGGCTACTTGAAGATGTCTGGACTTCAACTCCCAGAATTCCCCAGCCAGCATTCGCTGGCTGGGGAATTCTGGGAGTTGAAATCCAGACATCTTCAAATAGCCAAGGTTGAGAAACACTGCTCTGGACGGTCAGACTTTTTGCTCACCCACAATTCACTGCTTTCATTATCGTAGATAATGCAATGTTTTAACTAGGTGACCCCCAGACACAGCTCCTACGGAATACGTTGCAAACAACGTATAGTAGAAGTGGATGCAAATTTAGTACAGTTGTGCTGTGACTAAGGGTAACACAATTCCCTAACCCGAAGGTGGCCTATAATATATTTACAAGCATTTTAACGTGCATATAACTTGGGTCAACATGCTGTTGCAAAAAAAGTAATAATTTCCTCCAGCTCAATGAGACTTCTAGATTGGGAGAACAGAGTTGGAGTAAAAGAGGACCCGGGGGTGGGGGTGGGGGTGGGTGAATATTGGTGAAGTGGACAAGGCAAACCAAAAGAAGTAATTTTGCGGGGAAAGTAGGTGTCCTTTGCATGAGAAATAAGGGAAACAAAACTAGGGATGGTTAATGCAGAGCTTATAGTCTTGTAAATAGTTCTAAAGCAGTCTTTTCAAGCATGAGGATTCACAGTGGATTAAAACTGTAGTTCAATTCAGGGAAGCCAGACAAGAGTAAAGGGCCATCGGACCTTTGCTTCTCCCAATTTTACTCTGGTCTTTCAGGATCAGCCACCATCACAATCCCTATTTATTATCAACACTTACAGCCCTAATTATCCTTCAGCATTAAAAGACTCCTGGACAGCGATGGAGCATCTATTCCCTTCAGGGGTGTGAGATCCTAGCGGTTTAACAACCGGTTCGCTGAGTGTGCTTCGCTTGCGCATGCGCCAGGACGCACGCTGTGCATGCGTAGTTCAGAGAATGCTTACCTCCCGGATTGCTGCTTGGGAAGGAAAACAGCGGAGGCGGGGCAATCCACTCTGCCGCGCGACTCAGCTGAGAAGATAAAGGTTGGTAAAGCACAGGGGCGGGCGGTTCGCTCCCAGCTGATCTTGGAGGTTCGCCCGAAGCGATCTGAACTGGTAGAATCCCACCCCTGGTTCCCTTTGCTCTACTTCACAGGTGACGCGAGACAACAGGTGAATCACATTCTCTGCTCTTCCGCGAGTACAGAGACATTCCTGGAGGCCAAATTGTTGGCTCTCCGTGCAACGGAGTTTTGTATTCACGGTCTCGATTTCTGCACCAGTGATTGGGTCAAAGCTGGGCTACATAAAAATATTTCCTTTGTAAACATTTCCAGAAGCCTGTTTTAAAACATTGTCATTTCACATAAGGTCAACTTGAACTTTTGCACTAAATACCAATGAAGTGTTACTTTACTTAAGCTTTGTTGAAGCCTTTCTTAATAAACAAATAAACCTGGAATAACTTCCAACACTTTAAAACTGATCAAACCACTTTGCACAATTGTGGTCTCAATTTTATTTTTTTATTTTTTTGTAACATACACTTGGTCCTTACCCAGAGACAGTTAATCATATCCAAGCCTTATTGGCATGAATGGAACTTATTATCAGCAGTGACTGAATTATCCTATACACTAACAGGTATTGGGGCATAACTTTTTCTAGATAAAGGCAAAATATTATTTGAGGTTATGAATTATTAGCCTCGATTAAAGTGGTGTATAAAATTACAAACATGTATAATTGTGGATTTCGTTTTGTGTACTTTTTTAATTTTTCAAATGTTTTAAAGTGCAATTGTTTCTTACACTAATATCATTTTAATTCCAATTAAACTATAATATGCTGAAAGTTGGTAGGTTTATTTATTCATTATCTTTTGTTAAATGTGTCTGGTGACCTTAAAGCAAGAGCCTGAATTAATATATGACTATAACTGTTTTCAGAATATATTATAACCAGGGCAAAATTAACAATGACTAAGGGTTATGTTAGTAGAATTTCTATTTTCAGTTTTTGATCGTCACAATTTTAATGTAAATGGTCTATGACTGAAAACCTGTTCTATATAAATAAAATAGCTGTGTTTCTATAGAAAATACTTTTTATTTATTTACTGATTCATTTCAGAAAAATCATAAAAATGTGAAAGACATAAACTTTTAGTAAAGCAAATCATTGATAATTAGTAATGGGAGGAAACATATTATACTGCAACTATATGTGGCATTATTAAGCGCTGTTTAAAAATATAGGTAGCCCTCAACTTACAACAATTTGTTGACATTTCAAAGTTAAATGGCACTGAAAAAAGTGACTTACGACCATTTTTCACACTTATGACCATTGAAGCATCCTCCAATGGTCACGTGATCAAAATCCAGACCTTTGGCAATTGACTCTTATTTATGAGTCATGTGAATACTTTTTGTGACCTTTTGACAAAAAAGTCAATGGGAAAGGCAGATTCCCTTAACAACCAGGTTACTAACTTAACCACTGCAGTTAACAAGTGTGGCAAGAAAGGTTGTAAAATGGGACAAAATTCACTTAACGGATATCTCGCCTATGACGGAAATTTTGGGCCCCATTGTGGTTGTAAGTTGAGGACTACCTATAGAAAAGAAGGAGAAAAAAGACCGAGCAATGCTCTTTCCTCAAAGGTTTGGCTGAAATGTCTTCAGACAAGAGAAAACACTAGTTCGAGATGGGTAATCAATGCTTCAATATCACACTAACATGTAGGATGGCTGGCTTATTTTTGGTTTAACGTGGTAAATAAATACCATATTTTTCAGAGTATAAGATGCACCTTTTTCCCTCAAAAAAGAGGCTGAAAATCTGGGTGCGTCTTATACACTGAATACAGCATTGCTGTATTTTGATGCCCGAAACCCTGCCCCTTCACCAAAATGGCCATGCATAGCCTTTAGGAGGCTTATAGAATGCTCCTGGGGGCTGGGGAGGGCAAAAAAATGAGTGAAAAACAGGCCGATTTTTGCTCAATTTTGTCGTCCCCCCCCCCCGCCCAGCCCCCAGGAGTACTCTATAAGCCTCCTTAAGGCTATGCGTGCAATCTTTTTGACAAAAACGGGCCTGTTTTCACAAAAAACGGGCCATTTTTTGCTTTGGGGGGGCTACCCCCCAGGAGCACTGTGCAAGCCCCCTAAAGGCTATTCATGCCTTTTGGGGGGGGGAAGTGCCCGTTTTCGTGACAAATGGGCCGTTTTTGGGAGGTTTGCGGAGTGCAAAAACTTATTTTTAAAATTTGCCTCTTCAAAACCTTGGTGCATCTTATACTCTGAAAAATACGGTAAGTCATAATTTTGGAAATCCTGTTTTGCGGTATTTGGACATCGCGTTAAGACGTGCAGTGATTCAATTAGAAACTATATTGCAAAAGGTTCCTACGTATAATTATTCTTTGTAGGATAGTGCTCTTCCGCACCATATAACACTATCATTATATAATGATAATCTCATAATTATATAGTATATTATAATACCTTGTTATAGCACCCTAAATAAAAAGGGCAGCCATAATGAAAGAAAATCAGTGTGTTGGTTAGAAATCTTCCATCTTATTTGAAATCAATATTAAATTGATGTCATAAACTCTGGCTATTCTTTTGACAATGTCTTTCCAACCTTCATAATTAGAATTTTAGTACCCAGCAAGTTTTATTATGTACCAAAATCTCCTGAACTGAACATATAATTTCTTTAGATATTTCCAACATCCAATAATCTTTTCCACATAGCCTAATCTTTGGCCTTTAGCCTGCACCATAGTCACAACCCCAAATAATTTCTGCCAAAATATGTTATCATTTTTTATTTTATATTTAAATTTGTAAATAAATAAATATTCATCAGTCTGATTTCTAGAAGCATCACATTCCATTTTGCATATAATACTCAATGCAGAGCACTAACTCCCAGATTTATAGAGGTCTTGACTCGGTACTTTAAAATGCTTTAAATCAAGTGTAAAATTAGCTTTCCTCCCCTACATATTGTTCACACCAAGCAATAGCACTTCTACTTATATACTGCTTCATAGTGCTTTTTACAGCCCTTTCTAAGCAGTTTACAGAGTCAGCCTATTGCCCCTAACAATCTGGGTTCTCATTTTACCCACGTTGGAAGGATGGAAAGCTGAGTCAACCTTGAGCCGGTGAGATTTGAACTGCCGAAC